TTTATTAAGCAGCAGATTGGCACATTTTCAGGAGAGAAAATGCCAACTGATTACAGGAGGGGTCTGTTTTTTTTGTTATAGGGTTTGAGTGAGATTTGATTAATAAGTTTGAGTGAGTTTTGATTCATAATAAATGAGATTTGATTCATAACAAGATTTGAATCATTTGTAAAATGCATCAGATGGGCAGTCACAAGGAATAGTTATGCAAGTTCAAGGCACAAATCAGGAAACAGTTGCAAAAATTCAAAACCCATTGTTGCTGAGAAAGAGAGAATGAATGTCCAGAGCCCAGTGCTCCCCCCCATTACCCTAGGTCACACTGTTCTCCTTTCTCTCTGGGGATTGTTATTTCCCTTTTTAACTTGGGGGTTGTTATTTTTCATATCCTTCAATAACTATGATACTATTTTAGATCAGGTAACATTATAAATAATCATTGTTCTAGAAGTAGTGCTGGTTGAAATTCAGACCAATAGTGGTGGTGGGTCTAGGGATGAATTTTTCTTCTAGCTTTTGTAAGATATTTGTATTTCAGAAATGAATGGAGGACTGGGGATATAGCTCAGTGGTGGAACACTTGCCTAGCATGCACAAAGGTCCTTGGTTTAATCCCCAGTGCTGTCAAAAGAAAAAAAGAATGTAGACAGCAAAAGAAAAAGTGAATAAATTCTTCAGACTTGAAAAGTTTTGGGCTTAACAGAACACTATCAAGAGAATAGAAAACCAACTCTCAGAATAGGAGAAAATATTTCAAAGTCATATATCTGATAAGGGTTAACATAGAATATATAAAGAACTTTTGTTGCTCTGCGGTAGAGTGCTTGCCTAGACCGTGTGAAGCCCTGGATTTGATCCCCCATTCTGCAAAACAAACAATCAAAAACCATTTTGTTGGTTGAGGTGGTACATGCCTGTAATCCCAGTTACTATGGAGACTGAGGCAGGAGGATTTTAATTTAATGAGACCTTGTCTCAATATAAAAAATAAGAAATTCTGGCAATGTAGCTCAGTGGTAGAGTGCCATTGGTTTCAATCTGCAGTACCTCAAAAACAAATAAACAAAAAAAGAACTCTTGCAACTCAACACCAAAAAATGAGCAATACTATTAAAATATAGGTAAAGGACTTGAATAAACATTTTTCAGGGAGCTGTGGATGTAACTTAGTGGCAAAGAATGTGTTTAGCATGTGTGAGACCCTGGATTCAAGCCCTAGCAACCCCAAAACCCAAGAAATATTTCTTCAGTGATATACAGATACTCAATAAGATTATGAAAAATGCTTGACATCACTGGTGACTAGGAAATATGAATGCACAATACAAAGAGATGCCACTTCATACCCACTAGGATGTTTAGAATAAAAAAGTCAAATAATAACTAGTGTTGGTGAGGAGGTAGAGAAATAGGAATCCTCATACACTGCTGGTTAGAATATAAAATGATTCAGCTGCTTTGGAAAGCAGTCTTGCCTTTGCTTAGTTACACAGAGTTATTATAAGACACAGCAAGTCTACTCCTAGGTATTTCCTGAGGGAAATGAAAACACAAAAATTTGTACAAGAATGTTTATGGCATAATTATTCATAATAGACCAAAATAGAAACAACCCAAATGTTCAGCAGCTGAAAAGTGGATGAACAAAATATAATATATACAAACAATAGAATATTATTCAACCATAAAAAGGAATAATGTATTGATACATGCTACAACATAAATGAATGTTGAAAAAATGCTAAATTAAAGAAGCCAGTCACATAAGACCACGTTTTATATTATTCCATTCATATGAAATAGCCAAGAAGAGGAATCTATGTTGACAGAAGGTAGTGGTTGCCTAGGACTGAGGGTAGTGGGTTTAGGACATAAAAAGTGATAGTAAAGGGTATAGAGTTTCTTTTGAAGTGATGAAAAATGTTCTGAAATTGACTGTGGTGATAGCTGCACATATCTACACATATACTAATAACTATTGAATTCTAAACTTGAAATATATGAATTATAAATGAACTATTTCTTAGTAAAGCCATTTTAAAATGGTGCTGGAAGAATTGGGCATCCATATGTAAAAGAATGTAAGTTGGGGTTTGGGGATGTAGCTCAGTGATAGAACACTTGCTTAGCATGTACGAGGCCCTGGATTTGTCCCCCAGTGACTCCACCATATACACAAATAAATCAGACTTTAGGAAACTAAAATCTTTCATGCTTCAATGAACAGTATCAGGACTCTGAAAAGAATCAAGTACTGGTACTTTCAACTTTTCAATGTACTTTGAAAACATGTTAAGTGAATGAATCTAGACATAAAAGAACATATTGAATGAATTTATTTATATGGAATGACCAGTATGGGCAAAACCATAGAGGTAGAAAGTAAATTAGCATTTACCAGCAGCTGTGAGAAGAGGGGAATAGGAAGCAACTGCTGATGGGCGTGGGGTTTCTTTTGGGGGTAAAAAAAATGTTCTGCAATTTACATAGTCATTATAGTTGCACATTCTTGTGAATATACAAAAACTACTGAACTATAATACCTAAAAGGATAGATTTTTTTAGCTTGTGAATTACATCTCAAATTTTAAAGAGAATGTATACACATATGTATAAAATGTATACACATTTATATAAAATTTCAGGCTGCTGTAACAAAATACGCTGGACTCAATTGTTGTGTTGCTCAGAGCTCCACAAAAGTGAATTGGACTAGAATCCATTAATCATCTTGCTTTTTAAATAGCAGAAGACATGGTTCAAAAGTAGTTTCTGTTAAAGCCTTCTCTGACCTTAGCAAAACTGAAGCCATTGTTTTACCATTTGGAATGAAAAGTACAAAAGGTTATATATTGAAAATTCTTTTTTCTCAACCTTATCCCCTAACAATTTAATTCCTCTCACCAGAGAAAATCACTGTTTCCATGGAATATATCAGGTTGATTTATATAAATTGCCAATATTTTAGTATTTTTGACATGCAACCATGATAAGTTAATGTGGTTCAACCTAATATCAGTGAAAAACTGAATCCTAACTTCATCAAGTTTTAATTCTATTAGGAAGTATATTTGATAATTTTTTGCCATGTAATAATTACTCCTAATTTTAATGATTTAACATCAGAGACATTTATTATCTTATAGTTTCTATGGGCCAGGAATTTGGGAGCAGCTTAGCTGAATGGTTCTGTTTCAAGGTCTTTCATGAAATTGTAGTCAATATATTGATTGGGGCTATATAATCATTGGGGCTTAATTTAGGTCTGAAGGAGCAGGAGAATTTTTTGTGTCGTTATTGTTGTTCTTTGTTTGTTTGGAGATTGGACCCAGGGTACTTTACAATTAAGCTACGTCCCTAAAACTTTTTACTATTTTAAAATTTTGAGACAGGGTCTCACTGAGTTGCCCAGGCTGTCCTAAACTTGTGATCCTCCTGCCTCAGCCTCTTTTAATACCTGAAATTACAGGTGTGTACCATCTTGCCTGGCTGAAGGAGCAGTTTCTAAGACCATTCTCTCTTGTCTGGAGTTCTCAGGTTTTTCCCAGTCGTTGAAATAAGGCCTCAGTTCCTTACCATATGAACTTCCCAATAAAAAGCTGCTTGCATGTCCTCATACATGCAAATGACTTTCCCTGAATTGGGTGATTCAAGAGAGAAGGCCAGGAGGAATCCTCCTGAATGCATTTTATGACCTAATCTTGTAAATCACACATTGGCACTTTTATCATAGTCTGTTCACTAGAAGCAAGTTGCTAAGTTCAGGGCACACAAAGTGTGCATGCAAAGTCATGAAGGAAGGAGTGACAAAGAATTTATTAGTTTTTTTTCTTGGTACTGGGGATTTAACCTAGGGGTGCTTTACCACTGCCCCAGCCCTTTTTATTTTCTATTTTGAGGCAGGGTCTCACTAAGTTGCTGAAGGCCTCCCCAAATTGCTGAGGTTGGCCTCAAACTTGCTGAGTTGCTGGATTATAGGCATATGCCACTGCACCTGGCTTACTAACATTTTTTCAAACCACCACAGGAAGACAGACAATAAACAGAGTAAATAAGCAAATTATGGAATATGTTAGAAGGTGGTAAGTTCTATGAGAAAAATAAAAAATAAAGCAGAGGTAAGGAGAATCAGATTATGTATGTATGGAAAGAATGTAGGTTGCAATTTTAATAAAGTGGCCAACATAGGGTTCAATAAAGTGGTCAACATAGAGTTCAATAAGAAGGTTAGATTAGCTAGGTGGGATTCCTCATGACTCAGAAGGCTGTAGCAGGAAGATAGTAAGTTCAAGGCCAGCTTCAGCAATTTAGGGAGGCCCTAGCAGTTTAGGAAGACCCTGTCTCAAACTTAAAAAAAAAGAAAGGGCTGGAGATGTGGCTCAGTGGTAAAGTATCCCTGAGTTCAATCCCCAGTTCCAAAAAAAAAAAAAGAAAGAAAGAAGTTTAGATTAGATCAAAGATACTTGAAGGAGATAAGGAAGTTAGCTAAGCAGATATCTAAGAGAAAATCTGAAACTAAGGGAATAAGGTGTTAGTCATCCAGGTATGACAACAACCATGACTGACACAAGAGAAAGGTTTGGCAAGTGGTAGGAGAGGAGGTCAGAGAGGTTAATTTGAGGTTGGCAAGAATTGGAAATCATGTAGGAACTTATTTTCCATTTTAAGGACTTCTGACATTTTTTTATTAGCTTTTCATTCTGTCCACTTCCAATATTAAATGAGACTGTGTGTGGAAAAATGTTTAGAAATCAAGAAAGCAATCTATAAAGGCGAGTTACTTTCATTTGAATATCAAGCATTTTTGTTTTTAGTTAACTTGGCCATAGAAATAGTATTCCATTGTCTTATTGGAGGCAACGAAAATATTTACCTAAGAAAGTAGAAAAGAATGTTGACTATGTTTTATTACTGACACATTTTCAATTGGGGACATGGGAGAAAAATTGAGCAAAGATTATTTCCATAATTGAAATTAATGAGTTTCTTATTTTCAACAGGAATGTAAAGAAGAAATAAAAAATGGAACCAAGTACGGGTGTGAATTCTGTTACCATCTCTATTGAAGGAATGACATGCAATTCCTGTGTTTGGACCATTGAACAGCAGATTGGAAAAGTGAATGGTGTACATCACATTAAAGTAAGTTACTCTTGCTGGGTGTGGTGGCGTACATATGCCTGTAATCCCAGCAACTCTAGAGGCTGAGATAGGAGGATTACAAATTCAAGGCCAGCCTTAGCATTTGGCAAGACCTTGTCTCAAAATTAAAAATAAAAAGGGCTGGGGGTATTGCTCAGTGGTAAAGTACCCCTGGGTTTAATCCCCTGTGCCAAAATAATAATATTATTATTATTAAAAAGTAAGTTACTCTTGCTGGGTATGATGGCACATACCTGTAATCCCAGAAACTAAGGAGGCTAAGGCAGGAGAATCAAATTTTTTAAAATATATTTTTTAGTTGTAGTTGGACACAATATCTTTATTTATTTTTTGTGGTGCTGAGGATCGAACCCAGTGCCCCATACATGTGAGGCGGGCACTGTACCAATGAGCTACAGCACCAGCCCAAAGAATCAAATTTTTTAAAAAAGCAGGGAATATAGCTCAGTGGTAGAACATTCCTGGATTCAATCCCCATTACTGCAAATGAAAAAAAAATTACTGTTTAAAATAAATGAAGAAAAAAAAAAAAGAAAATAAATGAAGTAAAATAAATGCAATTGACTATAATCATGTTAGGAAATTCCTTCTAACACTGGGATAGAAGCAGACACACTGACATTTGGCAGTAAAGACTACTACACTTCTAACACCGATGCCAAATAAGTATTGTTAATCCCATTAATTCCTCATTAAAAAGAAAAAGGAGAAGCTAAGTGTGGTGGCAGGAGCTCCTTGGGAGGCTGAGGACCTCAGAGGCTGAGGCAGGAGAATTGCTTGAGTCCAGGAGTTCCAGACCATCCTGCGCAATATAGAGAGAGCCCATTTCAAAGTAAAAACAAACCAAAAATGAAGGAAGAAAAAGAAAAATTTTATTTTTCAATTTAAAAACGTTGGAACATGGAATCTTAGCATTACTATGGTTGTATATTTATAGATTTATATTTTATAAGTATATAAATACTTACATACCTATGCTTTTTATTACTCTTAATGTCATACTGAACTAAAATATATGTTCTCATAGTATGGCTTAGGGGGTTTTCTTTCTCTTTTTTCTTCTTTTTGGTGCTGAGGATTAAGCCTAGGGTCTTGTACATGCTGGGCAAGCAGCACTCTGTCACTGAGCTATCTTCGGCTCCTTTTTTTTTTATCTTTTATATGGCGACAGTGATTTTTTTGCAATTAAAATCGATAGGAAAATGTCTAGAAAATGACTGGTATACCTTATATGGTGTGCCCAAGGAAGAATACATTGCTATTTTACATTTTGAGCATTAAGAACATTCTAAGTGTACTATGGTTTAAAGACACAGTTTAGGTTATAAAAGAACTTCCTGAAGATTTCATGAGTTGCCTGTGATTATCTTTTTAAAAAATATTTATTTATTTTTAGTTGTAGTTGGATGCAATGCCTTTATTTATTTATTTTTATGTGGTGCTGAGTATTGAACCCAGGGCCTCACACATTGCTAGGCGAGTGCTCTACCACTGAGCCACAAACCCAGCCTGCCTGTGATTGATTATCTTGAGTATCTTCTTTTGAGCTGGGAGTGGTGGCTCACTCCCTACTCCCAGTGACTCTGGAGGCTGAGGTACTTCAAGGCCAGCTTTAGCAATTTATCAAGGCCCTAAGCAACTTAGAGAGACCCTGTCTCAAAATTAAAAATAGAAAGGGCTGGGGATGTGGCTCAATGGTTAAGCATTCCTGGGTTCAATCCCCAGTACAAAAACAAACATCTTTTTAATTTTTTATGTACATGAAAATTATATAAAATTCAACTTTGTCAGTAAGTAAAGTTTTATTAGAATGTAACTATACTCATTTGTCTGTGTATGTGTTATTTATGGCTGTTTTGTCACTACAGCAACAGTTGAATAATTGTGAATAAGATTCTATGTGACACTTTCATTGCTTTATACTGCTGCTTGCCACACTATAAAGCAAAGAGATCTTTGCTGTAGCATTTATTTTTATTACAAGTGTATATCATGTTAAAAAAGAAATTAAAAGAGAAATATTGACTTTTATTTTATTCATTTTTTGTGTATATTAGTTATTGAAGGACAAAATATTTTATTTATTTATCTTTATGTGGTGCTCAGGATCGAACCCAGTACCTCACATGTGCGAGACAAGTACTCTATCCCTGAGCCATAACCTCAGCCCCACTAGCCCCTTTATATATTTTATTTAGAGACAGAGTCTCACTGAGTTGCTTAGGGCCTTGCCAAGTTGCTGAGGCTGGCTCTGAACGCGAGATCCTCCTGCCTTAGCCTCCCAAGCCACTGGGATTACTGGTGTGTGCCATTGCGCCCAGTTGGTAATACTATTTTAACACATTTCTTGATATAATTTATTTCAGGATCTTACTTAATAATACAAGCATCTTTATATGGATATTCTAATTTTATACAACTTACATGAAATATTAATATAAATCTTATAAAGAAATAAGAGCCCAGTATGGTGTTGCACACCTGTAATTCCAGTGACTTGGGAGGCTGAGGCAGGAGAATCAGAAGTTTGAGGCCAATTTGGGTAACTTAGCAAGACTTGTCTCAAAAAATACAAAGGATTGAAGATGTAGTTCAGTGGGAGATTGTCATTGGGTTCAATCCCCAGTACCATATACATATAAGCAGCAAAATAGTTTGGTGGCATCTCCTAAACAGAAAAACCCAAAGTGCTAGCAATAATCATCAAAACTGTGTGATACTGACCAAGGGACAGATACACAAATTAATGGAACTGAATAGGGTGTGCAGAAATAAGATGATTATTTCTTGAGGCTCGTTGTCATTCTGTTGGCCAGAATAGCCTTGAACTCATGGCTTTTCTGCCTCAGTCTCCCATCCACTGCTGAGATTACAGGCTTACACCACCAAGCCCAGCTGAATGTACAGAAATAAACCAATAAATATGGTCAATTGATATTCAACAGAATTACAAAGGCAATTCAGTGAAGGAAGAATAAACTTTTTAAGAAATAGTGCTGGAAAAACTGAACATCTGTATTCATAAACAAAATTAACCACTCATTCAATTAGGAAAAAGTTTTTTTCACCTTTGATGAGGTAAAGAAAAGTTGTTTCTATGGCTGAGCTAACGAAATACAAAAATGTGCTTTAAATAAGTGTTAAAGTCAGGTAATATGGTTCCTTAACTTTTTCTTTTATTTTTTTTCCAAAATTGTCTTGGCTATTTTAGTTTCTTTTCCTTTCCATATGAATTTTAGAATCAGCTTATAAGTTTCTACACAAATGTCTGCTGGAATTTTTATTGGGATTTCGTTCATCCTATAGTTTCATTTGGATAGAGTTAACATCTTAACAATATGGAATTTTCCAGTCTATGCATATGGTTTAATTTCCATTTATTTAGATATTCTTTGATTTCTTTTATTAGGGATCTGTAGTCTTCTATGTAATTCATGTACTTATTTTGTTAGACTTATATTTAAGTATTATATGTTTTTGAATGCTATTGTAAATGGTATTGTTTGTTAAATTTCAATTTCAAATTGAGTTGTTCATGATGAGCTTATAGAAGTTCAATAATTTTTGTATGTTGAGTTTGTATCTTGCAATCTTGCTAAATTGACTTGTTAAATCTATTAGTCTTTTTGTAGATTCATTGGAATTTTCTACATAGGCAATTGTATCATGGATATTGAATTTTGTCAAGTGCTTTTTCTGAATTTAGATAAGATCATGTATTTTTTTAGTTTATGACACATTATATTCATTTTTAAATGTTGAAACAGTCATGCTTTTTTAGGATAAGCCCCATTTGATTAAAGAATACGTACTTTTTTTGGGGGGGAGGTACCAGGGATTGAACTCAGGGGCACTCGACCACTGAGCCACATCCCTAGCCCTATTTTGTATTTTATATAGCTACAGGGTCTCACTGAGTTGCTTAGCTCCTTGCCTTTGCTGAGGCTGGCTTGAACTTGTGATCCTCCTGCCTCAGCCTTCCAAGCTTCAGGGATTATAGGAGTGTACACCGCTGTGCCTGGCTTGGAATAATACTTACTTTTTGTTTCATATCTTTATATTTATTTATTTCTATGTGGTGCTGAGGATCGAACCCAGGGCTTCACGTGTGCAAGGCAAGCATTCTACCACTAAGCCACAACCCTAGCCCATAATACTTACTTTTAATGAAACATTTCAAACATACACCAAAGTGGAGAGGCTAGTACAAGAAACCTCCCTATACACATCACCTAGGAGAATACTTGCTATTTATTTGCATGAGAATCTCAGCAGCTGAATTTGTTAAGGTGTTTTTCTGATGCTTCTAAGAGTTTGTGGTTTGGAATTACCTAGTATATCTCCACACTAGTTACTTGCCATTCCAAGCATTTTGCTGCCCTCCCCCTTTCCCTTATCACTCTTTGAGATTCTCAGTGTTGATAGTAGTATAGTTAGCTTAAGCCCTCTTTCTCATACTTCATGAAGTTTGATTTGCACCCATTCTCCCTCATTTCTCTCTAACTTGCATCTAAGGGACCAAAGAAGTTAACAATATCTCTTTCTTGCTAAAATTTTGAGGATTGTTACTATAATAACAATAATGGATAGAAAGTTTTTTCTTAAATATTATGCTACAAATTGCTTAGTATTGAACATGTTTATTTTCACTGCCAGGGCTTAATGAGTCAATCCCCAGATGTGCCATTTTAGTGTTCATTTGTACTTATCATTTTAATATTTGGGTTTTTATCATCTTTAAGTCATCTTTATGTTGATGGTGGATCTGTTTGCTGGAATTTCCTATAATTTTGCTTTAACGCAATGATGGTGAAAGTAAATACCATTTTGGAATTTGATCAGATTGCTTTAATCAGAGAATGGTTTTCCTGTGACAAGTTGAGATCCTCATGCAAAGATATATTTTTTTGCCATGGTACTCAGAGCAGATGTTAATATTCTAAAGGGAGCTTTCTTTCAATGAACATCAGATTTAGTGC